TTCCCTCCTTCCCTCCCTCCCTCCCTCACCCTCGTCCTCCCTTCCTCCCTCCCTCACGCCCACAATCCTCGGGTTCCGTTCAACGATGGGCGTACAATACAGGCGTCTATTGTACACTGAGTACCTCGTTTTTTCCTGACTTGCATTATGTACCTCTTCAATAGCAAGGCCGTTGTTTTGTTTTGTTTTGTTTTGTTTTTAATTTCTTTTATTATTGTTTGCTTTTTCTTTTGCGTTTTCTTTTTCTTCTTCTTTTTTTTCTTTCTTTTATTATTGTTTGCGTTTTCTTTTTTCTTCTTTTTTTATTATTGTTTGCGTTTTCTTTTTTCTTCTTCTTTTTTTTTTCCTTTCTTTTATAATTGTTTGCTTTTTCTTTTGCGTTTTCTTTTTCCTTCTTCCTCTTTTTTTTCCTTTCTTTTATTATTGTTTGATTTTTCTTTTGCTTGTTCTTTTTTCTTATTATTTTTTTCCTTTCTTTTATTATTGTTTGCGTTTTCTTTTGCGTTTTTTTTTTTTCCCTTTCTTTTATTATTGTTTGCGTTTTCTTTTTTCTTCTTCTTTTTTTCCCTTTCTTTTATTATTGTTTACATTTTCTTTTTTCTTCTTTTTTTCCCTTTCTTTTATTATTGTTTGCATTTTCTTTTTTCTTCTTTTTTTCCCTTTCTTTTATTATTGTTTGCGTTTTCTTTTGCGTTTTCTTTTTTCTTCTTTTTTTCTTCTTTTTTGTATGAAGATGATCATCCTTTGGTGGGAATTATCATTATTGTTTGATACTTTCTTATCATTTTTATCATCATTTTTATCGTTAGCAGTAATAGTAGTAGTAAAATAGTTGTATCATTGTTATGATAATTATTAGTGTTATCATTATCATTATTATATTTTATTATTATCATTATTGTTGTTGTTGTTATTGTTTTGTTCTTATGTTATTATCATTATCATCTATTATTCTCAATGTTATTATTATCATTATCATTATCATTATCTGTATTATCTATATCATTATCATTTTCTATATCATTATCATTATTATCATTATTATCATCATCATCATCATCTTCACCATTATTATTATTATTATTATTATTTCATCATCATCAATATCATTATCATATCTATCATCATTAGGACAACAGCAACACCGTTTCTTCATCAAAAAGAAAAAAAGAATGCGAAAATGACAGCATCCCATAATTACGAAAGAGATGAACCACTATTGTTTATCTCGACAGGGAGGCTGCACACCATTTCGTCTATTGTTACGTCACGCATTACCATGCCTTTGATCGAGTTTAATCCTGTATGCAAATGAGTTCGGATAACTTGATAAATGTGTTCGAATCTGTGTAATCGTTTTATTGATGGGGCTAAAAAAAAAGAGAGAGAAAAAAAGTTATATAAATAGTAAATGAGATTTTTCTTTTCGTTTTTTTTTTTCATAAATGACGTGATGCGAACAATTGCGATTAAGTGAAAATGTCCATTGGCGCGTGACGTCATCATAGCTTTCGGAAGTGAGACATCAGTAGAGATTTCAATATTAACGGAAAAAAATCCTCTCATTCATTAATTTTTTTGTAGGTCTATCTTTCATGTGTATTATATCGAAAGGGTGTGGAAGCACACACACACACACACACACACACACACATATATATATTTTCTCTCTCTCTCTCTCTCTCTCTCTCTCTCTCTCTCTCTCTCTCTCTCTCTCTCTCTCTCTCTCTCTCTCTCTCTCTCTCTCTCTCTTTCCTTTTTCTTTTCTTTTTTTCTTTTCTTCTTTTATTCTATTTCTTTAAACCTAATTCGGGAAATAGAATTGGTTTATGATTTATATGTCAATGAATATCGTTGAAGACTGTTCAGATTCTTTATTTTCTTCCTTATTTCTTCTCATTTAAATTTCTTTGTCTTAGTATCTTAGTCTTTCTCCCTCTGCCTCTGCTTTAAACTCTCCCCTTTCCATTCCCTCTTTCTCGTTCTCCCTTTCTCTCTGTATTTCTGTCAGTCAGTACATACACGTATACATATATATATATATATATATATATATATATATATATATATATATATATATATATATATATATATATATGTGTGTGTGTGTGTGTGTGTGTGTGTGTTAACATATACATATATACATATATGTATACACACACGTATATATATGTGTGTGTGTGTGTGTGTGTGTGTTTGTGTGTGTGTTTGAGTGTGTGTGTGTGTGTGTGTGTGTGTGTGTGTGTGTGTGTGTGTGTGTGTGTGTGTGTGTGTGTGTGTGTGTGTGTGTAGTCACATCGTTTAAATGCATTTATTATTCTTTCCTTTTTTTCCATTTTCTTCGTACACCTTGATTTTTTTCATTCTCGATTTTCTCCCTCTTCTTCGCTTATTAATTTCCCGTTATTTCAAGTTTTTGAATTTCCTCTTCTTTTCGTTTTTTTGTCTTTGTGTGTGTTTTATTTTCTTGAACTGTGTTCGTTTTGTTATTTATATTACCATTATTATTGCTATTATTATTGTTATTATTGTTGTTGTTATCATAATTCATTATTAGTTATCATTATCATTATTGTTGTCATTATTATTACCACTATTATGATCGTTATCCTTATTGTTATTATCAGTATCATTATTATTATTACTATCATTATCATCATCGTCATCATCATTGCTATTATCAATATTGTTGTTGTTGTTTTGTTATTATCATTATTATTATTATTATTATTTATGTTATCCTCCTCCTCATTATTATTATCATCATCATTATAAAGATGATAACGCTACTGTTATCATTATCACTGCTATCATCATTCGCATTATAACATAATTGTTATATTTGTTATTACTGCATTAAATTACTATCGTTATCATTATTTTTGTCCTGTCTTGTCACTGGTCTCCCATCCAACAGTAATATTCTGCAGTTTTAAAACCTAAGTTCAATGATATCCTGTTTCGTAAAATTCTCGAAAATATGAACGTGTATATCACAGCATTGTTTTCATTTTTATTATCATGTTTACGAAACGCTAACTAACACCATGTTATATCATAACTCGTCGAAAAGTCAATACATTCTTCCAAGAAAAGTGAATACATTTTCCACGAAAAGTTAATACTTTCTTCCACGAAAAGGGAATACATTCTTCCACGAAAAGTGAATACATTCGAGACAAAAGCTGCAGTGTGTGCGGGGCATCCTTAAACCTTCACAAATTTATCCGTTCTTAAACCTTCTAGAAGCTTACAGAACCTTCGTATTGCATGAACTTCATCCGTAAAGTTAAAGTCAATAGCATTCGAATTGCCTAACTAACGAGCCAAAACAGAGCAGCATCGGAAGGCAGAATAACATGCATAAGTATTTGCAACATTGCCACGTCTGTTGCCATTGTCAGAGAAGTGGAATTCGCAGATGCTGAGAATTTGCAACTGCAAATAGAAATCATTCAATGACATATATGTGTACTTTTGCAACTAAACCAATTAAGAAGTTGAACCTTTGATCGTTGGAAAGGAAATTGTGCGTTTAACTTTGACTGTCTTTTTGAACAAAGAATTCCTTAAGATTCTCGCTTTCTCTGTCGGTTGATTTCGGTACTTTTTATTGCAGGAATTATTGCGCACACACGATCATATGCATACGCACACAAACACTAACGCACATTCTCTCTCTCTCTCTCTTTCTCTCTCTCTTTATATATATATATATATATATATATATATATATATATATATATATATATATATATATGTATATATATATCGCTTTCGTTCTCGAGTTCTCTCTCTCTCTCTCTCTCTCTCTCTCTCTCTCTCTCTCTCTCTCTCTCTCTCTCTCTCTCTCTCTCTCTCTCTCTCCTCCCGCTCTCTCTCTCTCTCCCGCTCTCTCTCTCTCTCTCTCTCCCGCTCTCTCTCTCTCTCTCTCTCCCGCTCTCTCTCTCCCTCTCTCTCTCTCCCGCTCTCTTTCTCCCGCTCTCTCTCTCCCGCTCTCTCTCTCCCTCTCTCTCTCTCTGTATGTGTGTGCGTGTATGAAAGAGAGCGTGTGTGTATAAAGTCGTAATATCAATGAATTAAAATCACAGTAATAACAAACTGAATAATTTTAATGACCGTAGTAATGTTAACAGGACGTACAAGCACTTGTGATTATCACTAATGATATTAATCACATTCATGGCGGCGATGCTGATGACAACATCGATAGTAATAATAATAACAATTAAGATAATGCTTGTCAAGGTTTTAGAGAAATCCAACACATGAATCTCTCAGGAGCTTCAAGTCAGCGAACGGAGAGGAATGAAATTGTCGACAGAAAGTTTTAATTGGTGTAGCATATATTATTAGAGTCACCCCCTCCCTTCCGCCGGTTTTCTGTATAATTACTTCGCAATCAACACGGGTCAGTTCTCCTTACTTCGGATTTGACCTTCTTGAAGTTCGCTAAAGGTGACAAATATGTAGAGAAGGTGGAAGAAGGGGAAGAGGAGGAGGAGAGGAAGGGGAGAGGAGGGAAAGCGAAGGAGATGTAGGGTGATGGGAGTGGGAATTGAAAGAAAACGGGAAGAAGGTAGAGTTTTAAGGAAAACGGGAAATGGGAACTTGAGAAAAAAAAGTGCATGGGAAGACGATAAGAAAGTGAAATATGAGGGAGGACACAACAAAACGTTTAGAGAGAGACAGGGAGAGAATACCTATAAGATCAAATAAAACTGAAGTGTGGAAGAGATCATTGTTTACAAGAAACAATGCATTCGTTTTTTCTTTCTTTCTTTCTTTCTCTGTATTACTTAAGCAAAAAAAAAAATCTGACATAAAAGATACATATTTGTCACTGACAAGTAATATTCTATTCTCACATTTTATAAACAAACAAAAGGACGGACGAAATGACCGACACTCACTCCCATCCCCCCCCCCCCATAATTCCCTCATCTTCATCCTCAGTTCTACCATTGTTATATGCTGAACATCCTCTTTCTCTCCCACAGGATCGCAGAACATGGCTCCCGGTGCTCCTGCTGTCTGCTTGCTCCTGCTTGCCGCTTCCCACTTCCTCCTGCTGATCGTCGTCTAGAAAAGGCCCTGCAGCGGGTGTCTTCGAATCAAACTACCCGCGTCGTAGCGTTTAGGATGTGAAACTATACAAAATAGGATCTATTGTAGGATTATGTATTGAAGTGTTGTAGATGAGGATGTGTTCGTGTGTGTGTGTGTTTGTGTGTGTGGTTAGGTTTGTAATACTTTTTTTTTCACTGGGTATATGTTTTCATACTTTTTTGAATGATTGATTGATTCTTCTCTCCTGTCTCACATCACTTCTTCGGAAGGATATGCCTTTTTTGTGGACGAGGAAGAGAGAGAGAGAGAGAGAGAGAGAGAGAGAGAGAGAGAGAGAGAGAGAGAGAGAGAGAGAGAGTAGGCTAGTATTCGTAGAGTTTTTGCACCCGACCAAACCCAACTTGTAAACTCTTCATGTCGTGTGAGTTTGAGCGTGCGTTTTCTGCCTAAAGTAACATTTGTGTGATTACTCCTAGCGTGAATTTAGTTTCAAATCCGAAAGCCTGGACAAATGTGCTTTGCATATCCACCTTATAAATAAATATACAGTATATATATATATATATAAATAAATATTTCGTGTGTACAGATAAGTGAACACCCAAGTTCATAATTTTTCCTACATAAATACAAGTGTTCACATGTAAACAAAGTCTTGCATAGCTTATCAAGTATGAAACAAAATGAGGTTATTTGTACATAACACACAAACTGTATATTGCACGTGTGTACATATAGCTAAGGCCCATGCATATAGATGCACATAGGATGAACAATAATAGGGAATAAAATAATGTGTAAACAAGTATGTAAAGCGTAGGTTTTGGTCATGCAAACAGGTGTAAATAACACAGGAACTACAAATCGGTGTGTACATTACCCATGTAGGAACAGTACTTCCCAAAGCATGGTCACTGTGGGTCAGTCAGTAATAAATGTGTATTGAGTTGAAACTTATCTCATTCGTGGGAAAAAAAAAAATTCCTTAAGGCAGGATATGCCCCTTTGTAGAGACGATGTAGAAGAGGGACTTTGCCGCTTAGGATCTCAAAGTCTCTTCAAGGAGAGTCATATTTCTTATTTTCATGTGTGTGTGTATTAAGTAGAGTCGTTTACCGGGAGACTTCACATAGGTAGAGTCTCTGTCTCTCTGCCTATGTCGAGTCTCCTGCCCCATCTGTCTAGAGAATACTACCCTTTCTTTACTTATAAAAAGAAGAGTCAAGTAGAGTCCTATAAGAAACAGACAGCAGAAGGGACGCCTCTTTCGCCCGGAGTTCCCCATCGTCTGCA